CATGATTAGAACAATTTAGAATCTACATTATTCCAGGATGCTTCCACATAAGTTTCTGCTTTTCTGGCCCAGTGGTTCTTGAGAAGAAGATTTTTCCTATATATTTCTATGTAAAACTTTGATTCCCCATTGTGGCCATGTCCAACCCCCGGGGGTCATGATTTGAACAATTTAGAATCTACACTACACCAGGATGTTTCCACATAAGTTTCAGCTTTTCTGGCCCAGTGGTTCTTGAGAAGAAGATTTTTTAATGACCATACCCTATTTTTGTCTTTTCTTGATTATCTCCCCTTGTTAGGGGAATTGGCCCTTCATTTTCACAATTTAAATTCCCCTTCACCCAAGGATGCTTTGTACCAAGTTTGGTCAAAATTGGCCCAGTGGTTCTTGAGAAGAAGCTGAAAATGTGAAAAGTTTACAGACGGACAGATGGACAGACGGACAGACAGACGGACAGCTGGACAGACGGACGCCGGACAAAATGTGATCAGAAAAGCTCACTTGAGCCTTCGGCTCAGGTGAGCTAAAAATGGACTTATGAAAGTTTGTTTTTAAGCCTAACAGTAAGACAGAAGTTGTTTTGTGGGAACATTTCAGAGCATAACTTAAATGAAATCAACAAGATTTTTTTTTCGTGTTGGTTACTTTTCATAGTTATGTACATTCTACAGGTAAACTGAAGTAAAAATAGTCAGAAAATGCCATTTAAATTACATTGAAAATATTGCAATACATATCGCAATACAGTTAAAAATATCGCAATATATCGCAATACGAAATCTTGGGCCAATACCCCCTGACCCTGGGGCCATGAATTTCACATTTTTGGTAACAGCCTCTATGCTAATTACAATCATGCCATCAGTTTGACTGCTTGATGTCCAGGAGTATAGAAGAAGATTTTTAAAGATTGCACTAATTTTACTGGTTTTGGCCCCACCCCTCAGGCCCCAGGGGGGCAGGGACCATGAAATTCAAAATGTTTGTTGCTCTTTACCCATAGATGCTCTGTGCCAAAATTGGTTGAACGGTTGCAGAGAAGAAGCTGAAACGCAAGGTGCACGACGGATAGCAATAGGTCGCCTGAGTTTACTCAGCCAACCTAAAAAGGTTAACATTGCATAGTACACGTATCATGGCATCATTATTACATTTTGGTGTCTTGTATGCACTAATATATATATATATATATATATATATAAAAAGCACTAAAAAACCAACAACACTGTATATCCTAAATGTCGGATCTACCAAGTAGATATAAGGTCACGGATGGAAATTTATATAAAGCACTAAAAATGACCAACGACACGAACGATAAAAATTGTCAAATTTTCGGGACGCCCTGTCCCTTCCTCAGGACAAAGAAAAAAGTTAAAAAGTCGTAAGAACAAAGGAAAAAGAGACACAAAAACAACTAGCACTACTACTAAACTACTAAACACTATATATTTACAAACTTAGTTACATGTTGAATTGGAAATTTTTACAAACACTAATAAAGAAAGAAAACCGGACCGCTACGAAATACGTTCGGTCTATCGGGTATACTCGGGTGAAGTGCGATTTACATAATTGAACGAATTAATTATGCTAATTAATTACGACAATCAGTAAATCGTACATTGTTTCATTCTCTCAAAATGATGTAACTACACTTGATAAAGAATAATCAAAGAAAAATGATATAGCACGGATATTTTAAAATATGAATTATGATCTCTTATAAATTTTGAAATATTTTAGGACTTATTATCGGAAACAAAGGCGTAAGCAATTCATAGTTAAGTTGGTTGTTCGAGAGTTGGTGATGCAAATTAACTGTAGAGTTTACACAAAATTGAGAGAATAATCTTGTTTAGTATCTTCAGGAATTGGGTCTAGTTTACGCTCATTCTGGTGAAGTCATTCAGTTTGTTAATACCATTAGGGCGGAATGACTTCAATCTGTGCATCCAGAACTTTTCTTTGCTTTTTCTCTGAGCGTCTGTCCATCTTGGGTTATGGTCAATCACCACTACTGTCATGTCCTCCCATTTGTGACCCTCAAGGTTGAAATGTTCCCCAACGGGTTCATTGAGTTTTTTGGTCCTAATGGTCGAACGGTGGTTATTGACTCTCCTGCGGAGATCTCCTGTTTCACCAATATACTGTTTGGAGAAACTTTGCAATTAGCATAATTAATTCATTCAATTATGTAAATCGCATTTCACCCGAGTATACCCGATAGACCGGACATATTTCATAGCGGTCCGGTTTTCTTTCTTTAATAGTGTTCGTAAAAATTTCCAATTCAACATGTAACTAAGTTTGTAAATATATAGTGTTTAGTAGTAGTGCTAGTTGTTTTTGTGTCTCTTTTTCCTTTGTTCTTATGACTTTTTAACTTTTTTCTTTGTCCTGAGGAAGGGACAGGACGTCCCGAAAATTTGACAATTTTAATTGTTCGTGTCGTTGGTCATCATTTTAGTGCTATATATATATATATATATATATATATATATATATATATATATATATATTTTTAAAAAATAACAGAACGCCGATTAAAACTCTACCGGTTTCAATTGTATCATCAGGAGTTTTGACATATTGCTATAGATTATAGCAATATGTCAAAACTCCTGATTATACAATTGAAACCAGTAGAGTTTTAATCGGCGTTCTGTTATTTTTTACTATTTAAATGCTTGTGTGGATTTTTTATCAAACTTTTGGATTATATATATATATATATATATATATATATATTGACGTCGTGCTTATGAACGTTACTAAGCAATTTTATATTTAACTTTTAACTGTCTGAAGAGCCACATTAGGCAGAAAGCGCTAACAGTAAAAATGATTTTCGAGATTTGTGATTTCTGACTTTTTTTCATTGGATATATATATATATATATATATATATATATATATATATATATATATATATATATATATATATATATATATTTACAAGTATCATAAATTTATCATTTAAAATGTACTTTTAATCTCAATTTAATTTTTGGGTAATTTTTCCTCATATACACCCAACAATCTTTATAAAATTTTTACACAATTTTTGACTTTTTTTTTTTTACTTCTACTTACTGAGCATCGGTTCATACCTTGATCATACATCAGATGGTGTGATGCCTCTGTTGGCAAAATGGTGTATTTTCTCATCACATTGTCATCCATGAGGGCAGAACCACGAAACAAACTGAAGCACCCCGGGGAACAGAGGACACAACCCAGGACGTGTTCTGTAGCCTTCTGAAGCCAGTGAGCAACAGCATACTCAAATTTCTGGTACCAAACCATAGGTCCTAGAACAGTTTATAAAGTTTTGATACAACTATATATGGACTTTAGTTACTTCATGATCAACATGTGGATATATCTTTGATTGGCCATTACAAATTGGTAAAAGCATGCTTCTAAAATTACAGCATCATGATCTTTATAATATTATACAATAATAGCTGTGATTTGATCTGTTCAAAAAGTCGCATTTAGGAAAATTGTTGTGAAGTGGATAGAAAATCACATTTACTTTTAAATTACAGAGCCCTTCTGATCTTCAACAAAAGGAGTTAATATTGAACAAATTAAGATGAAAACAAAATATCAAAAATCAAGAATTTATTTTGTGTCATATTCTGAAAATTACCACTGCCAATAGGATGAATCCTGCCACAGGATGCTCCTACTTTTGGGTTTTTCCTCATTCTATCCAGTAGTAACCTGACCGCCCCTGGTGTGAAATCTACATCTCCATCCAGGGCCAAAAGGAATGTATTCTCAGCCTGAAATAAAAACATTTATTTAATTACATCAATTTAATACCTTAAGACACATCAAAAGTATCAATCTGCTAATTATGAAAATTATGCCAATTAAAAAAACCAGAAGTCTCTGTCGAGACTGAAGCTCTACTAGTTTGTACTTATAACAAAGGAAGAGAAAAGTACTTAAGCAGTTGGGAATTGAAACTTTACAACAGCAATAAATAGAATAAGATTCTTGATTAAGTCTCTTTAGGTTCTTAGTTTAGTCTACTTGCATGCCACATTATATTATAATCAGACTAAAAGTGTATTTGGAGTAGCATTTTGAGAGTATTTACCAGAAATTTCTATTTTTAGTAACAAAGGCAATAATGTTTATCAGTCAAAAACCGATACACAGAATTGTGTATCTTAGTGTAGTCTACTTGTGTGCCAAGTTATATTGAAATCAGACCAAAACTGTAGGAGACGTAGCATTTTAAAAGAATTTCACAGAAATTTCTATTTTAAGTAACCACGGCAACATCGTTCATCGAAATCAAAAACCGATATATAGAATTATGAACTTAAGTGAAGTCTACTTGTGTACCAAGTTATATTGAAATCAGACCAAAACTGTAGGAGACGTAGCATTTTGAAAGAATTTCACAGAAATTTGATTATTTCTATTTTTAGTAACCACGGCAGCATTGTTCATCAAAATAAAAAACCAATAAACAGAATTATGAGCCTTAGTGAAGTCTACTTGTGTACCAAATCAGACCAAAACTGTAGGAGGAGTAGCATTTTGAAAGAATTTCACAGAAATTTCTATTTTTTGTAACCACAGCAACACCGTTCATCAAAATCAAAAACAGATACACAGATTTATAAACTTAAGTAAAGTCTACTTGTGTACCGAGTGATACTGAAATCAGACTAAAACTGTAGGAGGAGTAGCAATTTGAAAGAATTTCATAAAAATTTCTATTTTTAGTAGCCACAGCAACACCGTTCATCAAAATCAAAAACCCATACACAGAATTATGTATCTTAGTGTAGTCTACTTGTGTGCCAAGTTTTACTGAAATCAGACCAAAACTGTAGGAGGAATAGCATTTTGAAAGAATTTGACAGAAATTTCTATTTTTAGTAACCACAGCAACATCGTTCATCGAAATCATTATCCGATACACAGAATTATGTATCTTAGTGTAGTCTACTTGTATGCCAAGTTATAATGAAATTAGACCAAAACTGTAGGAGGAGTAGCATTTTGAAAGAATTTCACAGAAATTTCTAATTTTAGTAACCACAGCAACACCGTTCATCAAAATCAAAAACAGATACACAGATTTATAAACTTAAGTAAAGTCTACTTGTGTACCGAGTGATACTGAAATCAGACTAAAACTGTAGGAGGAGTAGCACTTTGAAAGAATTTCACAGAAATTTCTATTTTCAGTAGCCACAGCAACACCGTTCATCAAAATCAAAACTGATACACAGAATTATGTATCTTAGTGTAGTCTACTTGTGTGCTAAGTTATACTGAAATCAGACCAAAACTGTAGGAGGAGTAGCATTTTGAAAGAATTTGACAGAAATTTCTATTTTTATTAACCACGGCAACACCATTCATCGAAATCAATGACCGATATACAGAATTATGTATCTTAGTTTAGTGTACTTGTGTGCCAAGTTATATTGAAATCAGACCAAAACTTTAGGAGGAGTAGCATTTTGAAAGAATTTCACAGAAATTTTTATTTTTAGCAACCACTGCAACACTATTCATCGAAATCAAAAATCGATACACAGAATTATGTATCTTAGTGTAGTCTACTTGTGTGCCAAGTTATATTGAAATCCGACCAAAACTGTAGGAGGAGTAGCATTTTGAAAAATTGTTTAAAGACAGACAGACAGACGGACGGATGGACACCGGACACATTACTATCGCATAAGCTCTTCTGGTCTCTGACCAGTAGAGCTAATGATGGTCAACAACAGGAATACTGATTTAAATCTACACAGCAAGTATTTTTAAATAACAAACCCTGAATAAGACCTCCTCATCCAACATTTGGAAGATATGACTTTTCCCGGACAAACCAGTCACAGTTTTTATGTTGTCATCCCATGATGCAATTTTTGAAAAATCCTGTTTATCAAGTGCATCCATCACCAGAGTTTGACATTCCTTGACAATTCGATACCCCAGCAAGTAGTACATGTACATCACCTATAAAACAGTTCAGAAGATAAGCTTTGACATAAAATTTTACAAAAAGACCAATAAAAAGCAAATTCTGACTCTGCCTCAATAAAATCTAAAAGTCAATTAATAGTTAACACAAAAAAAATTCCAACATATTGATTATATAATCTATTGAATCAGATTAAAAATGGATTTGAGCTTGCTCTCCATTTAACCAGCAGATTACTTGAAATCTAAAAATCTCAGCAGACCATATATACTAAGATAAGTTTCAAATTCTCTAACATTTTACACGTCTATAAGCATGCAAGAAGTCTGTAGATTTGAGAGGTTTTATATTCTGTGCTAATGTTAATGTACCTGTGACCACCTTTTCCTGTGCCTGATCTTTCCTTTGTCTTTCAGATGAGTGTAAATAAAATTCCCACCTGGCATTGTGAAAATTACCTGACCACCATAATTAGAGGGAATAACAAAAGGAGGGTCCAGTTCTATTGCCTTAGAATGTACAGCACTGAAAAAAAATTTTCAAACATCAAGAAAATAATTTACCCCTATAAATAAAATAAATTACTGGTTTAAGCAACCAATTTCAAAAGCTCAAGATCTTAGATGAAATATATGCACACTGAACTTTATAATTTATAAATTATTAGAACATTATCTCTTTTTTCACATACAAGACTTCTTTTTCTTTTCCATATGAGGAAGTTTAACAAAATATGGTACTTGAGACAATTCTTTTTTAATTAATATGACTATCTAGGAAGTCCAATGAGAATAGTTAAAATTAACCTGGCTGCTTCATTCATTAATGAAGCAAATAAATTCACAAAAGCATTGGGAACCATCTCTCCATCATCATCTGGCTCAAAGGCGTCATCAAAGAGAATGTGGGCTACAAACACAAGGGAAAAATCAAAAGGTAAAATTAACAAAAATTAAACTTCAATTTTGATGGACAGTGGAAAACGCAATTCATTGTTATGTGCAAAGAAATATTTGAGGGTGGTATGACTGCAAAGAATTGAAAGAGATCATCTGGAAATGGTCTAGACTACTAGCATAGTGATAAAAATCTAAAATCAATTCATTCCAATTAAAATTAGATGTTCCACATCCGCGTATACCGCTTCTCAAACATCTAACGACATCCCATTCGGGGTCATGTCAGAGTGACCTTTCGATTAGCCAATGAAATCGTTGCCTCCAAAATCTTGGCTTATATAGTTTGGATGGGTTCCCTCTTTTCACTGCCTAACCTATAAACACTCAAGGAGTTTTGTAGTAAACAAAATATGCTTTCAGTGTTTTCAAAAAGAGCTGGCAACCGGCAAAATTAACTGCCTGTGCGATAAATTTTGCCAGCTATGAAATTTCCGTCATTAGGACTTTTGCCATTCTGATACGTGAAATCCATAGATTTTATCGCAACTTTTCCATGATCTAGAGCCCTGTGGGGATCCGGGTTAGAATAGGTCCTCAGTACCCCCTTGCTTGTCGTAAATGGTGACTAAATGGGGCGGTCCTTCAGATGAGACCATATAAACCGAGGCCCCGTGTCACAGCAGGTGTGGCACGATAAAGATCCCTCCCTGCTCAAAGGCCGTAAGTGCCGAGCATAGGCCTAAATTTGCAGCCCTTCACCGGCAATGGTGATGTCTCCATATCAGTGAAAAATTCTGGAGAGGGACGTTAAACAGTATACAATCAATCAATCCATGATCTAGAGTAGCTTCCGTTGAGTGCGCTCTTTTTTCAAGGAAGTTTGATTACATCGATAGTGTCAGGTAATGGCGTCACGGACAACGAATATTTGAGCAAAGTCAGAGTCGTAGAGAAACGTTTTGCTGCTGTAACACATTGTTATAGATCACATGCATTAAGAGGCATAAAGAATGGTCTCTTCTGAAAAGATTTGTTTGTGTTTTATAATTTTCGATTGAAAATTTATTGTGCGGCAGCCTCAATATTAAGTGAGGGTTCCCTGATGAAACAACAGACAGTAAATATCAATATATCCAGGTCAATATAATTTTAAGACCTTAATTTAGAAAAGATGTATAATTCTTACAGAATTTCCTCAAACTGAATATCTCAAATGTTAAGCTAAGACGTAATAATTAAGAATAAAAGTCTCAATATTTTAATCGTGGCTCACATAGAAATTCTTATGAAATTTGCTCAAACTGAAAATGAAAAATTTTATTCCCATTTATTCGTGTAAGATATATCTTTATAAATAAATATTTTTTTTTTTTAATTTTGAATATAAGTCCTGACCAATTCATTTGAAAGGGACTAAATATGTAAAAGTTTAAGTGTAATATTGTGCCACAGACAATTGTCAGTACTAGAATTTCATACTGAAGTTGTCTCTATGTTTTTATAGACACTCAGTGTTCAGAAGAAAAAACTAAGTCTCAGAAATCTGTCAAACAAATCTGTAAAAAGGTAAAATTGTTTTCTAATTGACTTTTTGGTGTAACATTTGATGACTGATAGTGACAGGAATGTGAAAAAAGTTACTTTTTTAATGGCCTGAGAGGTAAGAAAAATGAGTCAAAAATGCTGATTTTCGTTTTAGGTCGGGGGGGCTTCGCCCCCTCCCCCCCCCCCTCCGGACCCCCTGGGGGCCTAAGGCGGCCCCCAGACCCCTCGCCGAGACTGGTTTCCTGCTATTCCATCTATTTTTCCTTCTATTGAAAATCTTATTGAAATCAATGGCTTTAATTGCAAAAGCTGTGCCATGTATGAATGTGAGCTGCGAGATATTTTGAAATGTATAGTTTGTGCTACAGGCCTTCTGATCGCTTAAAAAAAATTAAGGTGTTAAAAAAATATTTTTTTTACACACACAATTTTTTTAAGTGATCCAAAGGCCTGTGGTTTGTGCTTTTTAGTTTGCCTTATTCACCTAAGGATGTCAGACTGGCAGACTACATTAAATTTATACCAAAGTTACTTTAATTCAATGTAACACAGTATCAATAAAGAATACGTAGCTGTGGAACTGATTTTAAAATTGCTTACTAAAGCTTGAATCTGATTGGCCAAAATTTTTATGTTTATTCGTAATCGTAAGGTCGCTCTGACATGACCCCGAATGTTGTTAGATGTTTGAGAAGTTTTAGCGGATTCGGAACATCTTATTTTAATTAGATGAAATCAATTGTTTGGTATTTTAAAGATTATCATAATGATTTATCATATAAATCATATACCTGCAGCATAACAGATCATTCACAATATTTAATACTGCAGTTAAAGTCTCTACGATGTTACCTTCAAACTCGTAGTATTCTATTTCCTGCATGTTTTTATATTCTGCCAGCTCATATGCCTTTTCTCTCAAAAATTGATCTTTGTCCATTCTGAAAGCAATTTTAACATTTTATTGTAAACAAATAAATTAAACAGTAAAATACAGTAAAAATGAACATCCTTGATTTATAATGAATTGAGCCTTATAGCAAAGTAAATTTCCTTCCCCTGCAGCCTTCAGCCTTAGGTAAGCAAAAAATTTCTGCAAGGAAATTTTGAAAACTTCCTACCTAAACAGAGACTTGAGGAGCTGGACCATTTCCACCCGGTTCTCGTGCCACATGGTAGCACAGGCATAAATCATAGGAGGAATCTCCTTTGACATCTCGTTACTCTTCTCACTGGCTCCCATTTTCTGGTCGTCTTTGGTTAACCTTGAATAAAATGTAAAAACGAAAACCAACTTAAATTTGATGCAAACTCTGGGGGGTTTTTTTTATCGAAAACTCAACAGGAACAAGTTTAAAAGTTGAGAAGTTTTAATGATTTAAAATAACCATAAAGAATATCAAGTGCTTAAGACTCAGTTGCCAACTCGCTTCAACATAAACTGGGTTTAACTTTTTGAGATGTTGGTTTTTGAATTAATAAAATTCATTTGTACATGTATGTCATTTCTCAACTACTTTTTCAAAAGCATTTACACAAGCTTTGACATATTGAAAAAAAAATCTCATTTTTTAAATGAGATTTTAACCAACAAATTTAAAATTCTGACTAAAGTTTGCTTCAAAGCAATTGTAACTTAGTATACTTAAGATCCAGACTAAAGTTTTAAAACATGTTAAAGGGATAGACTTACTTGTAGAGAATTGGTCCATTGGTGGTCTGTCTGTATGTAACAACCCGGCGGTTATGTCGTCTCCTGTTCATCACTAAATGCTGCTCCATAAGAATGCCACAATACATGGGATTAAGGAACAACCTGTTCATTCAAAATATTTTTTTAAAAAATCCCTCGTTATTAAAAAATAAATTAATGTATAATGATTCATTTAATAAAATTATGAACTTGTGTAAAATATACACAAGTTTACACAAAAATCCATTGGGGTTTTTGTCTTATAAAAGATACTGTAAGAACTCAGGACTGATAAAATGATACCCCCTTTCCCATTTGAGTAAAATGGAAAGCCATTTTTTTTTCTAAGGGAAATCACATATATTTATTCAAATAAAATGAAAAATTGAAAGTGAAAAATTGCATGATGTAAAAAAGATTCTATGATGGTCTCATTAAATTTAATTCGATGTTATAGGAGAAGTTGCAGATACTGTAAGAGATGGGTACACCAAGTGTTAATTATGAACTAGGATGGCCATTCCAATCACTGTATATCCCCTGCTTTTCAAGTTAGTGAGGTCATGTATAATAATTTTCTACTGAATTAAAACTAAATTTTTACCTTTCAACTTTGGCCAGTCTTTCCTGAGTTGGAAACCAAATGTGTCTTCCCACCCAGTACAAAGAAATTAACCACAAGGCCATAAGTGGAAGATGAATCCACAGGTTCAAGATATCCTTATCACAACTGGTTTTTAAACTGTGACTTGAAACAGATGAAATGTATGTTACATCCTCCACATTACACTCCAAGGACAATGCAATGATGGCTATCGGGGTTGACAGTAAGCATGGGATAGAAAAAGATAGTTTCTGCATTTGAAGCTTGCAAACAGTGTAGGCCAAATAGTATCCAAGGAAACCAGAAACCACCAAGGCAACAATGTCAGAGTATAGCTTGGCATCTTTGAAAGAGGACAGATTGCTCACATTTTCTTTAAAATCAAAAGATATTGGGTCTTCCATCAAAACATAGGCAAAGAGCACTGTTACCCCAATCTTAGTAAAAGAGGTAAACATGCGTATATATGCCCTGCTTTCTTGCAAGTCAAATTTTAGTTTGAGGAAAGCCTGCTTGATTCGACCTTTCTCGCTCCAACAGACTTTATCATCTACAAAATTCTCCCACCAAGAAACAGAGCACAGGAGCAAGGCTCCAACACCCATAACTTTCTCCAGAGCATTTTCCATGCCAAATCCAGGCTCAAAACTTGTTTGGTTAAAAATGTTCAAAGTGTTCACAGTGTGTGTCTCATTTCCATGTATGTACTGCAAATTGGGAATAATTAGCACAGGTATTGCGGATAACTGGACAAAAAATGCTAACAAGTCCAAAACAAAAAAGACTATCTTTCTAACAGTCCTTTTGCACCCTTTTTCAGAGTCGTCTGGGTCATTGGAGAAGATTGGTTTTAGAATGCTGGGGAAGATGACCGTGGCGCTAAGGATGCCCACTCCTTGTACGGCTCCAAGGTCTGGGAGGAGGTGGAAAACCAGAAGACTTAGACCCAGGGAGTGGAGGATCTCAATAAACACACACTGCAATGATAAAATTTTAGTCATGTATTAATGCATGTCTCATTTCAATTTCAATTTAACCAAGAGATGTTTGAGAGAAAGATATTCTTTTGGAAAATTTGTATACTAAATTTTGTTTCAATACGTGCAACCACTGCAAAGAATATGAACAGAAACTTGCTAGACCGACAGACCGACCAACTGACAGCAGCAAAGCATATGCCCTCCATTCTTTGAATGGGGCAAAAGAACAAAAAATATATAATTTTATTTTAGATGTTATTTTTATAGAATATAATATCTTTACTAAATTCTAGAAATATGGTATATATGAAACACAAAACTTTTATATGTCTGTGAAATGGTACCCTTTGAAAATTTCCCGATAGCTTTTTTTATTTAATATCTAATGTCTAATACAAAACATAAATTCTGATATTTATACATGTATATATAGAAAATCTATCTCTGTCTTATTTCAATAACAACAAAAATTGCATATAAGCTACTTATGTAAGCTATTGGATCATAACACCCCATCTGCATGTATTAGTGTAAATGATCACATTGAAATCTGCAATTAAGCTAAAACCTCAGCTGAGTTTGAGAATATTTTCAGTGCACTAATGCTGTGCTTTAGAATTATTATATACATACCAAAATAATACTTGTGAAGCCTGGAAAGGGTAGATTTCCAAACAGGGACCTCCACACACTGGTGACAAAAATGAGAGCATAAGGTGTACACATCGCAATCAGAGTCAGAAAATATCGGACACTGGCCTCTTCATCCTGGAAATTATATGAACTGAATTCTTATCACCCATCCAGGGTCAATATTTCTTCTCTAAACACATAACTGTACATGTATAAGTACTTTTTTTCGTGTGGTATTAATATTAATTTCATGCTATATCACAGTCACAAATTTTCAACGAAAATTTGTCCAAGTGTACTTAATATACAAGAAAGGTATACAAGGACAGTCTAAAAAATCCTTGTAATTTTCTATCTGCGGATTTAACAGAATTTGAGATTCCGCAGAATTTTGATACCGTGGAAAAAAATATGTTTACAATATTTCTTTCAAGGAATATCTGTGTCACCTGTGAAAGTAACCTTGACATATAACAGGTCTGGACGATTTCTAAATATGGAAGTCAAGAATGATAACCGAAAGTTGCTATAAATGTACATCAAGTACACGTCATTATTTTTCTGTCCAATCAGACAACAGCATTTTTACACACCCCAAAACATATTTTAAAAGAACAAAAAGATAACACGTGCTTTTGTTTTTTTCCTCAGAAAGATTTTTTTAACAAAAAATCTGTAGAAGTAAAATGAAAACTTTTGAAGAATAAAGTATTCCCCACATATTTACCGTGAACAACCTTGACATTTTTATCTCGGTAAAGAAAAAAAATAATGCACGATAGAATGTAATTGTTTACAGAGGTATAGATCGCACCAGCAATTTTTTATCAAGTTCAATTATAACATTTACTAATATATATTTTATGATGGTAAAAATAATTTTGCTTAGCCGTCCGATTTTCATCCATAATGCTTAAATTCCATGTGTATAGATCAACTCACACAAGTGTTTATCGTATGGAGTATATACACATATAGTTTTTGCATTTTCACGGGTTTCATGAGCGCCGAATACTTAGCTATGCAGATTTTAAATGGGCATAAGGAAAGGCGTTTAACGTGGAGAAAAGAGAATCCTGAAATTATACATGAATGCGTTTTATCCCAATATCTTACCTCGCATATCAGAAACTGCATGGACTACTAGTATTCTGTAATAAACACTCAAAATTAATAGAGACTGTTATCTTTTCGAAAAATTTTTATGTCAGGCTCTGAAAACTGAAAATTTACTGTATTTATATCAATTTCTTAACATAAGTAAACTTTTGGGATTGCTAACTCCTATAGACAGTTTTTTTTATCCCACTTAAAACGTATTCCAAGCTTTCAAGTCGTGTTTGTTCACGGTAGAATTGTCATAAATATTATATTATTCCCAAATGCACATAAAGTTTACAAAAAGTTTGTTCTAAAAAAATCTTTTGAGCAAAAAACTTAAAAACCACATGTTTTATTTATTCTCTCACGGGTTTGTCTAAATGCTGTTATCTGATTGGTCAGAAGGATTAGCGCCTTGTTTATTCTGTGTATTAATAGTAATTCACGGTTATCGTTCTTGACTTCCTTATTTAGAAATCATCCATACCTGTATAATAAAGGTACATTTCAATAAGAATTTCTATATCTGTCCAATTTAGCCCCACCATTTGGCTTGACCCCTAATTGACCTGCTTGGGATATTCTGATTGGCCAATATTTAAAAACATTTGATTTAAACTTCCTTATTTTGCAATTATAAACTTAAGATGAATGAATGTTGTATCATTAACTCATGCAGATCGAGCTTTAGAGAATATAATCATTATACTATACATCACTGACAACTTTTTGTTTCATTTGTCAGCAATATATAACCTGAAACTAGAATTGTATTTGTGCATTTAAAAAGATACCTTAAACATCTCTGTTAACAGCCAACCTTACCTTTGCATCTTGACTTTCATTATGATCTCCTTTCCGTTTTGGTCGTAGTTCTGAGACAAGTGTCATAAGGCTGATTTTCTGAATGACCAGACAGGCCAGTAGTATAAGAAACAACAGGATGTAGGTAATGATCTTGATGACCCTCAGACTCATGTAAGTGTGGACATCTTGTCCTTTCTTCTCACGGGCAATGACTTGGAAGATGTCCCAGAATCTGAAATGATTTAAATGTACTTGTTTATAGTCTTTTGAAAATAAGATTTCAGATTATGCAGACAGATACATGTACAGTAAAACTTGTTTAGTACAAACACAGATATTGTGAATTCACAAATATAGTGAAGTTATCTTGAATCTCTAGCTATGTGAATTTGAAATATTCCTTATGCAGAAATAACAAATTAAGGATATAGAGAAGTAATTTCATAGGTCCCAATGACTTCATTATAACCAAGTTTTACTGTTCTGTTTGGAATAATCTTAAAATGTTTTAAATATGCAACACAAATTAAACAGCGACTTTGATACATCAATTCACTGATAAAACAATGTACAAAAAACTAATATTTCAAAACTAAAACTCACTTAGTGTCTGGTTTAGGGGGTGGCCCTGGCTCTTTCTTCACTGAGTTTTTTCTGGGGGGTGGAGGGGTGGGTGGGGGATTATCTGGTGTGGAGGTATCTGCAGACTCAGCTGATTCACTGCTTGAACTTATGTAATTTGTAAACTCTCTGTCTGGTCTCTTGGTGCCCTTTGTAAAATAAAGGTTGAATAATGAATATGAAAAAATATATGCATAGAAATAGCACTGAAGTGCTTTTAAAATTTATGCAGTAAACTGTACTTGTTCTCTGCTAAAATTTTATCAAGTTTGTTCACATCCTTAATTTGAGCAAATATTTATCACACAACAAAAGCATAATGAATATATCATAGACTTCTACATAGTATGCTTTCAATGCATCTATTGTTATACCCGCACTTTCTAAAGAAAGTTCGGGTATATTGTTGTTACTCATGTCCGTCCGTCCGTCTGTCACACTTTTTTTCCCTGAACTCCTCTTACATTTTACACAGTAGCTTAATCATCTTTTGGGAGATGGTTGGTGGTGTCATGTAGATGTGCAGTAAGGTTTCGGAATTTTGATTTTGCCCCGGGGGTTCAAATGGGGGTCGAAAAATGACGTTTTTTATGCAAAAAGCCCCGTCTTCCCGAACTCCTTCTATATTTTACTCAGCAGCCTAATCATCTTTTGGGAGATGTTTGGTGGTGTCATGTAGATGTGCAGTAAGGTTTTGGAATTTTGATTTTGCCCCGGGGGTTCAAATGGGGGTCGAAAAATGACATTTTTTATGCAGAAAGCCCAATCTTCCCTGAACTCCTTCTACATTTTACTCAGCAGCCTAATCCTCTTTTGGAGATGGTTGGTGGTGTCATGCAGATGTGCAGTAAGGTTTCGGAATTTCTATTTTGCCCTGGGGGTTCAAATGGGGGTCGAAAAATGATGTTTTTTATGCAAAAAGCCCCGTCTTCCCTGAACTCCTTCTATATTTTACACAGTAGCCTAATCATCTTTTGGGAGATGGTTGGTGGTGTCAGGTAGATGTGCAGTAAGGTTTAGGAATTTTGATTTTGCCCCGGGGGGTCAAATGGGGGTCGAAAAATGATGTTTTTTATGCAAAAACCCCCGTCTTCCCTGATCTCCTTCTATATTTTACACAGTAGCCTAATCATCTTTTGGGAGATTGTTGGTGGTGTCAGGTAGATGTGCAGTAAGGTTTCGGAATTTTGATTTTGCCCCGGGGGGTCAAATGGGGGTCGAAAAATGACTTTTTTTTATGCAAAAAGCCCCGTCTTCCCTGAACTCCACTTACATTTTACTCAGCAGTAAAAAAAGCCCCGTCTTCCCTGAATGTTGGTGGTGTCATGTAGATGTGCAGTAAGGTTTCGGAATTTTGATTTTGCCCTGGGGGTTCAAATGGGGGTCGAAAAATGACGTTTTTTATGCAAAAACCCCCGTCTTCCCTGATCTCCTTCTACATTTTACTCAGTAGCCTAATCATCTTTTGGGAGATTGTTGGTGGTGTCAGGTAGATGTGCAGTAAGGTTTCGGAATTTTGATTTTGCCCTGGGGGGTCAAATGGGGGTCGAAAAATGACTTTTTTTTATGCAAAAAGCCCTATCTTCCCTGAACTCCTCTTACATTTTACTCAGCAGCCTAATCACCTTTTGGAAGATGGTTGGTGGTGTCATGTAGATGTGCAGTAAGGTTTCGGAATTTTGATTTTGCCCCGGGGGGGTCAAATGGAGGTCAAAAAATGACGTTTTTTATGCAAAAACCCCCGTCTTCCCTGATCTCCTTCTACATTTTACACAGTAGCCTAATCATCTTTTGGGAGATTGTTGGTGGTGTCAGGTAGATGTGCAGTAAGGTTTCGGAATTTTGATTTTGCCCCGGGGGGTCAAATGGGGGTCGAAAAATGACTTTTTTTTATGCAAAAAGCCCCGTCTTCCCTGAACTCCACTTACATTTTACTCAGCAGTAAAAAAAGCCCCGTCTTCCCTGAATGTTGGTGGTGTCATGTAGATGTGCAGTAAGGTTTCGGAATTTTGATTTTGCCCTGGGGGTTCAAAAATGACGTTTTTTATGCAAAAACTCCCGTCTTCCCTGATCTCCTTCTACATTTTACACAGTAGCCTAATCATCTTTTGGGAGATTGTTGGTGGTGTCAGGTAGATGTGTAGTAAGGTTTCGGAATTTTGATTTTGCCCCGGGGGGTCAAATGGGGGTCGAAAAATGACTTTTTTTTTTATGCAAAAAGCCCTTTCTTCCCTGAACTCCTCTTACATTTTACCCAGCAGCCTACTTCTTGGGAGAATGTTGGTGGTGTCATGTAGATGTGCAGTAAGGTTTCGGAATTTTGATTTTGCCCTGGGGGTTCAAATGGGGGTCGAAAAATGACTTTTTTTATGCAAAAAGCCCCGTCTTCCCTGATCTCCTTCTACATTTTACACAGTAGCCTAATCATCTTTTGGGAGATGGTTGGTGGTGTGAGGTAGATGTGCAGTAACAGGGCTCGACATTAACGCTTGTCCGCTTGTCTGGTACCAATGCAAAACAATTACGGACAAGTGAATATTGCTGGGCACTTGTCCGATTGGACAAGTGATTTTTCATGTAAAGAAGTCTTTGAATAATAATAATAAAAAAACAACTATTGATTTAATTGATAAGTTTATTGAATACAAACGTAAGCAGTACATAAACCCGAATTTCGATCCCGATATCAATCGCTATGTAAGTTGAAGTTTACACTTGATCGGGATCGATATTCACTAATTGCATCCATACCATGAATTAGGTGTCATAACAAATATTACACTTTGGTTCACGTCAAATTGTGGCTGACGCAAAATAATCCCGGAATCTTCCCTTCCGATTCGGGCATTTTGATACGAGACTGGAGCTGAATTTTTTTATCAGATGAAAAACAACATGTAAACTTCCTGTATTGACCAGATTTATTAAAATTTAGGGCGTGCTGATTTTTCTATATTCTGTCAAGAGTGGGGAGTGATTAGGCCCTGGACTAGATTTTCAAGCACCTGCTCGACTTAGTTACATCTACTCAAACTTGCGCATTTTTGGTAAGAATATATAGCAGAAATTAATACTGTTGTGACACCTGCAGTAAAACCGAATTTTGTACTTAGAAATATTGTAGTCTAAGAATTAAGGTTTTATTTTGTGAGTTTAGACGGAAAATGAGAAATAATGGCATTTTTCGGCCGTCATTGCTGTTCGTTCATGTTTAACGGAGCATAGAAAATCAGTCCAGATTTCCTCTAAAATAAATTATGTTGGCCACACCACGGCCTGATTTGGATGTATCAGGTTGAGAGAAATGTATGAAATTTAGAGGACAGATTGAAAAATACCTTGCCATCACACTCGTTAATTTTAAAATCTATAAATTTAAAAAATTTAGACCCCACTCGGAGCAAAATAAAAATTCTGAATATGTGTAAACATCGGTTTATTTGGAACACATTGGTAACAGATAAAGAAATCCGGTCGAAAAAAATAATTATTGAGGCAAATCAATCGTAATAAAGCAGAAAACACCTTAATATTTCAATTATATTTATTTTTTCAATGCCCTTTTTAACCCCACCCCCCAACCTTATGCCAAAAATTATTTCTTTCGCCCTGTTATAAAAAGCAAACTTATTTTGAACAATTTTTCATCCTCATGTGAATCAGTACGCATCCATTGAAAAATCAAAACGAAAAAACCGCACAAGTTTAACGCGCAAGATCATTATATACAGTTCAACTTTTGCCATATTTTTAGAAATCCGTGTTCATCGCGAAGCCCCCCGTCACCGAGTTTTGCCCGTAATTTTCCTATCTTGGGGCGGATTTTTATGAAACTTGGTAAATACATTAAATTATCATCATAGATCAGGAAAACAGCAATATACCGGCAAGGAAAAAATTTAAGTTTAATTGCAGGTGTCATAACAGTATTACACTTTGGTTCACGTCAAATCATCTGCAGTAAAACCGAATTTTGTACTTAGAAATATTGTAGTCTAAGAATTAAGGTTTTATTTTGTGAGTTTAGACGGAAAATGAGAAATAATGGCATTTTTCGGCCGTCATTGCTGTTCGTTCATGTTTAACGGAGCATAGAAAATCAGTCCAGATTTCCTCTAAAATAAATTATGTTGGCCACACCACGGCCTGATTTGGATGTATCAGGTTGAGAGAAATGCATGAAATTTAGAGGACAGATTGAAAAATACTTTGCCATCACACTCGTTAACATAATTTACTCATAAATAATTTTAAAATCTATAAATTTAAAAAATTTAGACCCCACTCAGAGCAAAATAAAAATTCTGAATATGTGTAAACATCGGTTTATTTGGAACACATTGGTAACAGATAAAGAAATCCGGTCGAAAAAAATAATTATTGAGGCAAATCAATCGTAATAAAGCAGAAAACACCTTAATATTTCAATTATATTTATTTTTTCAATGCCCTTTTTAACCCCACCCCCCAACCTTATGCCAAAAATTATTTCTTTCGCCCTGTTATAAAAAGCAAACTTATTTTGAACAATTTTTCATCCTCATGTGAATCAGTACGCATCCATTGAAAAATCAAAACGAAAAAACCGCACAAGTTTAACGCGCAAGATCATTATATTCAGTTCAACTTTTGCCATATTTTTAGAAATCCGTGTTCATCGCGAAGCCCCCTGTCACCGAGTTTTGCCCATAATTTTCCTATCTTGGGGCGGATTTTTATGAAACTTGGTAAATACATTAAATTATCATCATAGATCAGGAAAACAGCAATATACCGGCAAGGAAAAAATTTAAGTTTAATTGCAGGTGTCATAACAGTATTACACTTTGGTTCACGTCAAATCATGGCTGACGAAAAATAATCCCGGAATCTTCCCTTCCGATTCGGGCATTTTGATACGGGACTGGAGCTGAATTTTTTTATCAGATGAAAAACAACATGTAAACTTCCTGTATTGACCAGATTTATTAAAATTTAGGGCGTGCTGATTTTTCTATATACTGTCAAGAGTGGGGAGTGATTAGGCCCTGGACCAGATTTTCAAGCACCTGCTTGACTTCGACCGAAACAAACTTGCGTGCCTTGCTGGATGGCTATGTATTTTTTGGTACTAAAATCTTTATAAAGAATGGTTTTACAAGATCTGAAA